GGACACATCACACATCGCCGTGGCATGGGGGGTTCAAAAGCCACAGAGCGGCTGCTCCACGGTACCCGTTTGACCTGGTCTTCATTTCCTATAGATAAAAGGGGCACCCAACCAAGGGGTGGGCAGTAGGAGTAAAACTGCTGATTTCTGCCGAGTTGAATAATAATCAGGCTACAAAATATGAAGATTTTTGTATGTAAATATTTGTCACAGCACTACTGCCCCAGCCCCTCCATCTGTCCCCATGTGCCCATCACAGAAAGGCACCGTCGAGCCCACAACCCCTGCAATTATTTATTCACGGCAGCTCCGTCCCCAGGCCCCATCTGCTGACCTCCATCAGCCAACGCTCTCGCTGGCTCCCAGCCCACCCTGGGGGGTAGCAAAGCAAACCTGGCTATCACTTCCAATCCAAAATCTGAAATTTTAATGTGCCCATCCACTCATTTCTTTTTTTCTTTTTTTTTTTTTTAACAGTGTAATAGAACATCAAAGCTCATTTGCATGTAAATTATTAAGGTGACATTTACAAAGTGACATTTAAGCAAAAAATGCTTTTCAAAAGAAGTGCCAAACAGGCTCTTTGTTCTGGATGTGATATAACACCGATTTATTAACCTGTCCAACCTTTTGTTAACTGAAAAGCAGAAAAGTTTAGGGGGAAGTGTTTTATTTTAGAAAATTCCCCACAGGCTTTCAGCAAAAGGCTACTTTCCTTCCGTTACCTAAGCACAAGTGTTCAAATGTGGACAAAGGGTCATTTTTTGTCTACAGAAATTTTGCAGGATAAAAATCAAATCCACGGAAAGCGAAAGTGAGTCATCAGACACAGCACCAATACTTTCAATTAAGGTTGGGTTTCATTTAATGGCTGAACGACACAGAAGAAGTGTCTGCACTAAATCAAGGCTTCATAATTTTTCTTTAATAATAAACATTTAAATTCAACTCTTGGTACTTGAGCAATAGTTTCTCTTTACAGTATCAGTTTCCTAATAAATTAAACATCTAAGTTGTTCTCTAACATTACAATTGCTTGGCAGTTGAAAAATAGAGCAGCGAACTGTTTAACAGTCACTGTTTTAATCAAAGCGGATAATGCGTCTATTCCTAAGTCGGGGTGGGGGTTGTTTAAAAAGATGAAACGAGGTGAAAACTCCTTGGCACTTTGGAACCTGCTGCCCGTCCATGCCAAAAATGCCAGATGTGTAGGTTTCTTACAGAAATTATCTTATGCTTCACAAGTGACCGATGCTTGCACTGAAGCAGAACGAGTAGTTCGCTTTTGCTGACCTACCACAGAAGGATGGGATTCAGCAGCGAATCACAAATATTTCTGTCATGGCTTTCTCTGCATGATAGCAGTACTTGGAGATTACCTGTTTGCTGGCACATGTTCTTGGCCAGCCCTGCCTCACCCCAAAAAGAAATAATTTTTAGTGAAAACTTCCATGTTAAGGGGAAGGCCAGCTGCTGACAGTGACCATTTGTTACCAGTGGCTTCTGCAGACATAAGAGTCTCTTACGAAATTATCTTTTTCAAAAGAATTTTCTACCTTTGCTGCCTAGCAGACACAGCATTAAAACAAAAAGCAAACCCAACAAACCAATGCCAAAGTTCCTGCGTACACAAAGCTCATGCACACACTGGGATCCGAATGGAGCACACCTCCATTGCTGTAGAGGACATATATATATTGCTCTACAGGGTATTTTCCTGTTTTACTAAATGTGCTCTCAAAGGCAACTAAAGCAGCTTCTCCTAGATCTGTGGCTTCCTGATCTTCTCGGATCATCAATCTATTTTCAGTTCCTGTAAAAGTCCCTGCAGCCCTCTGCAATATCAACCGGGAAGAAAGGGAACATCATGAAGGCACCGAAGTATGAAACTTTGCGCCAACTTTCCTTGACCCCATCCCTTCTTCTGTTTGTGTGTTACCTGATGGAAAATAAATCTTTCCATAGGGATGCAGCTGTTTCGTTTTTTTTCTTTCTTTCTTTCTTTTCTTTCTTTCTTTTTAGGGGGGTGAGAAGGGAAGGGAAGAAATACCTGCTTTTAGTTAGCCAAATTCAAGTACTTATTCTACCAGATTCAGACAAGAAAGCCACATCTCAGTTCTACTTCTGAGATTGAGTCCTTCTCTAGGAACAGGACAGGGGCTGCAAGACTTCAGAATTGCTGTGGAAAAACTACAAAGCACTGCCAAAATACAAACCAAGTTGTCTTGGAAATAAAATGGAAGACCAGTTTAACCAAGTGGATGTTAGCTTTTCCCAAGAGGCAGACCAAAGAGACAAAACACATGAAAACAGTGAGCAGAGCTTGAGAAAATTACCTCAAGACTTGGGACAACGGGATAAACAGTGTGCCAGAAGGAGGAAAGACCCCATCAGTGCTAACATGTCTGTATAGCTTTTTCCTTTCCACCCAAGGGCCCCAAAGTACTCTACTCCAGCTGATGAATGAAACCTCCCCAAAGTCTCAAAAAATCTGCCCTTTATCATTGCACACATTATCTGGTTGCTTAGCTCTTAGTAAGTTTTCTGTATGAGTTCAAGTTTGTATTATGGCAAACGGATTCTTCCAGCTCTGGGTAATGCTGAACGACTGGGAGACATCACGTTCAAGAGTCCGACTGGTTGTCTTTAAGGATGATCATGGAGGACAAGGGAAGAAAAAGATACCAAGGAAACCAGAACAGAAACCTTATTTAAAAGACAGCATTACAAAGAGAAGGTACCTGAAAAAGACAACAGAGGACACTACTGGGTTACAGTAATATGTTCAATCGTGCATTTTCAATCAGCCTTCCCAAGAGGTCTCAGATATTAAATCTGAAACACCAGTAAACCCCACAAATACTCAAGAGCCACCCCAACAGCAACAACGCTAAACCGAATGAAGGACTGAATTCGCACTTCAGGAGAAAAGTACGGTCCGTTTGAAGAGGCACGTATACATTTTGAGGAATGACAGAACTGTTAAGGTACCTGTTGCAAAGACTTCGGCCCTCTCAATTCCTTTATCTTCTCTCTGCACATCCTGACCTACTGTGGTCACCATTGGCTTAACAGTGAACCGACAGCGCTCACTTCTTGTGGGCAGCGTAAGAGTTATCACAGGAAGACCGTGTCTGTAATTAATAGTTACTTCTGGAGTGAGAGGAGAAAGAAAACAAAGTGAGAAAGTCATATTAAAAGTTGTAGTTTAACTTAAAAGCTGTTTATAAAACACAGGATGAAGAAAGAAAACCACACAAAACGTTCTAGATTAATGTACTTTTAAATTTCTTTTTAGTACTTCATTTCAGAGGGGGGCAGATAAAAAAATACATATCTATAAAAACACGCAACATCATCTCACCCTACTCCCACAAAATAAATGAAAAGCTTGTTGACATTGATGGGAAGAGGGGAAAACCTGCCGGGCAAGCTTACCGTCAGATGGCACACGCATGCTGTAAGGTGCTCCTTCCCGGCCCTGCCAAGCTCCGGCATGCCTCCACAGCCGCCCCTGCAGCACGGACACAGGGAGCTGGCTTTAGAAAGGTTAGGATGCAAGATTTATCTGGTCAAAGGCAAGACCCAGCCCATCACGGTGATCTGCTTCTGGCAGATCTGACAGCAGAGGTGTCCGTCTGAAGACAAACTCCTCGCTTAGCAATTCCTATGTAAAAGATGGAACCATCCTTATAGAAAGCACAAACGTTGCTAAAGGTATTAAGGTATCACCCACAGTTAAACTTTTTTTCTAGCATGGTTTAAATAACTCAAGGAAAAAGGAGAAGGGGAAGGAAAGAAAAGACAAAAAATTGCAGTGTTTCTGAAGTGCTTCATGCAACTCTTACAATAAGCCCTCTCCTCTCCCCTAAAAAACAGCCGCTTGGAAAATCTCTACACGGTGGTGCCTGAAGGCAGAACTGTTCTGCAGCAGTTCAGAGTCCGCAGTGTAACTTAAAACAGAGGGCATGGTTTCGGTGAAGTCTTTTACTGCTGAATCAAACAGAATGACACTCTTAATAATGCCAAATAAAATACAAGTGACTGAGGTCACTCCCCCTTGCTTCATAATTATATGCCATATACCAAAAGTTAACTGTTGACATTCTTGGTGTTAAAAGGCAGTAACAACGATGCAGCTTGCCAAAGTATGGAAGATTTTTTTTTAAATATGAATGGCTCTTTCAACTCTAGCTGACATGCTGCTGCAACCTGGTGTTAAAAGGCAACAACAACAACGCAGCTTGCCAAAGTATGGAAGATTTTTTAAATATGAATGGCTGTTTCAACTCTAGCTGACATGCTGCTGCAACTACCAGCACCCGCAGGCTCTGGGACCACGCAGAAGGAGGCAGACCCAGATACCCCAGGTTGCTTCATAATTATATGCCATATACCAAAAGTTAACTGTTGACATTCTTGGTGTTAAAAGGCAGTAACAACGATGCAGCTTGCCAAAGTATGGAAGATTTTTTTTTAAATATGAATGGCTCTTTCAACTCTAGCTGACATGCTGCTGCAACTACCAGCACCCGCAGGCTCTGGTACCACGCAGAAGGAGGCAGACCCAGATACCCTAGGTATCCCCTGCACCCTGGGACAGGGACGACAGCAGGTTTTTGAACCTGCGTGGTTGCACTCCCAAGCCCGTCCCTTCCAGAGACATTGGTGAGAACCATCACGACACTTCAACACAGCCATGTCAAAACAGAGAAGACAAAGTGCTCCAGTTAGACCTGTGCATTTAAAGCAGTCCAGGCACACTGTAGAAGATGTAACCACTCCGACACAAAAGTCCTCTGCTTCTACACAGAACACACTCGGTTAGACCCGTGTATTTAAAGCAGTCCAGGCACGCTGTGGAAGATGTAACCACTCTGACACAGAAGTCCTCTGCTTCTACACAGAACACACTCTCCTCCACAAGGAGAGCAATGAATTTATTGCAGCGACTCCCACAAAGCAGGCATTACTGCTGTAAACTAAGTGTAAAAGGCAGAAGTGGGAAGGGAAATCACATCCCTGACTAAGCTGGTTACAAAAATTGTGCGTGGGCTGGACCAAAGCCTGGGGTTTGAAATATGATAGTTGGGAGAAAAGGAAAATCACGTGGAGAGAGATGACCAGGACTTTCTCTGTTGGTGGTGGTGGGTTTTTTGGTGGTTTTTTGTGGTTTTGTTTGTTTGTTTGTTTTTTAAAAGACCAGCCCAAACACTTAGGAACCAGTGTTTTTCACAGGCAGCTGTAAACAGGTACTTTTCCAAAGGGAAAACACAAATTTCTCTTGATTGCTTAAGAAAACAAAAGGTAGGAGCAGAAGAACTGACAGATTAGATCAAATCAAAAGCCTTTCTCTGTTAGCAGTTGGTATTAGTATGTAGATGCAATGATTTATATCCCTTATAAAGTAATTTCGAAACGGAACTTAGTAGGTAGTTTATATTCCAGTTTTATATCCTGCAACACTCCTGTGGATGGTCAAATTACTTGCATGGAGTGCAAAATGTATTTTTTAGCCTTGTTAGAAAGTAACCAAAGAAAACAAAAGCGTAAACAGAGAAGGTTCATCCTTTCCCTTTCCACAGCTTCTGATGAATAACATTAAAAAACATTTCTAGGCCAGATACTATAAGAACATCCATAGCCAGTAACCAACAGTGAATTTAAGATCACAATTTAATAGAAACTTCAACAAGTTTTGTCAAAAACTGTAGAGCTGCCATTTAATAGATCCTGGTAGCAGGAAAATATAAACTAAATTTTAAAAAATCAGACAAAAGCAAAGAAAGTAAATATTTCTAAGCAACAAGATCAAAGGGGCCACTACAAACGTATCAGTACCAACGCGTATAAGAGCTTCCAGCCTTTATGCACACTTCACAGAACAGCTGCAACAAGCTGGGTTTAACAACGCTGTCCTAGCAACAGCAACACTTTCCTGGAGAAGATAACTTTGAACAAAGTCCCTTAGCAGAGGTCTACATAAATATTTTTAAAACCACAAAACTCATCTATGTAGGCAAGCTTACAACCACCTATTTGTTTTCTTGGAAAAGAGCTTTGCCAGGAGAAGTAGCTTACACAGCGTTCCTGCTAAAAGGGGAGCCGTAGCAGAGTGCCTAGAAAATCCAACCGCTCCTCTGGCATGGGAGAGAGCCGGGGTGGTGAGCGTGCAGAGGTCTCGTTAACCGCAGAGCTCAGCAAAGGCCCTGATGAGCATGTGTGTCCTGGCACTTTAGGACTTTTGTCTAAGGTCCTATCACTCAAATACATGTGGACAGAAGTCTCAAACATTGCTCTCGCCCAAAGAGACACACCAAAGTGTGGTCAGATGTCAAGAAAAAAAAAAACAAAAACACACACATTTTTGCTTTATTTTCTATTTTTCTTTTGGAAGTCTACCTTCTCCCATTGCTGTTCAAGAAGCTATTATAATCCAAAGACATCATATGTCTGTGGCTTTGCGGATGCTGCCCACTTCCATGTTTCAGCTGTTGACATCAGTGTTCTGAAAACAAACCTTAGCTGAAATAGTGTCTCAGTGAACTCATTTACAACATTCCATATCAAATCCAGCATAGTCTGATTTTCACCTTCTTCCTGTAGGAATAAAAGTACGAAGCATACAGACAGCAATGATATTTGGAAATCAACCACCAATACTGGCTGTGATGCACTGAGCTATTGCTCTGCCCTTCAGTCTTTACTCTGTACAACAAACCTGTACATTTATACCTTTCTATACAGCAGGCAAAGCAAAGAGGAAAAAAATAAAGATTTCCTGTAGAGGTTTCCAGTGGCTTTCTCTAAAGCTTATTATCATGAGAAAAACAATTCAAACCAGTAGAAGATGAAAGGCTCTGTATCCCCGGATGGTCCAGCACCTGTGTTCCGATGCACCCACTGTGCCTCCCGGAGGGGGGGCGGTTAGCAAATCTGCACGTTAGCTGCTCACTTTTCCCCCCAAAGCCTTTGAACTCCAGCCAAGTAAGAGTTGTCCTATTGCCACTTCCTCTATTAATTCCCTTAGGACACGTATTTGAAAGACTGATGCAACAGACAGGGCAAGAATCTGCATTCACTAAATGCAGGGGTTACCGAGTGTTTTTAGGAACCCTGTTTAATGCTTAAAGCAAACAAGAATTTAATGCCATGCAGAACAAGCAACCAATAGTCAAAACTTGCTGCTCTTTTTCTCCTCAGGCCCATAGTGACATCAATATACACTGGATGGAGTCATCTGGTCTTCCAACACAAGCAGATTGCTATAATGCAATGATTATAAGGCAGAACCTCTTACCCTGCTCCATACTTTTGGATACATTTAAATGAAGCTGCCATCAATGAATCAGACTCCTGCACACAGCAGAATCTCTCACCTGCAACACCAACAAAAGTCTGGTTTATGCTGGCAAGTTTTCTCTAAGCTATTTCCAATAAATCTTCTCACCTTGTTAACTAATCCAGTGAAGCTTGCAGTTTTGTCCCCAGACTTGCTCTGAACTGAATGAAAGCATATCACCTCAGGAAAGCATTACTAAAAGAAAACTCCAAAATAAGGTAAATAAACCTTACAGAACGCTTTATGTCAGGTTGCCGTATTTATACCCTGTACTCCAGAACAAGCCACAACACTGACCTAAAAATGCATGGTCAGTGGTCACTCTATTCACCCCACCTCGAACATGCATAGAATTCTTGTATGAATTTGGGTGTAAAGTCAAATTTCAAATAACTTATTACAATTATTATGGGTTTGACATACTCATTGTTAATGCTTTATTACTTAGAGCAAGCAGAACATATAAAACTTCTCACATTCAAAGGACTTGAAAACTATTTAGTTCTTAATCTTGGAATTTTAACACAGGATCCCTGGAAAATTAAAGTTACTCCCTCCCTCTGTTAGGCAAATATGCATATGCAAGGAGACTTCCTACCAAGAAAATGTTCTGCCACTCTATTTTGATATTAAGAATCAAAGAATATCAAGTTTGTCTTAATCTGTAAAGCATTATGTATACAGTTTGTGCAGAAAAAAATGGGTCGGGGGGAGGCCAACAGGTATTCTAACATGTTGCATCAAACTTCTCTTGAGAACAGCAAAGAAATTCATCCTTAAAACACTAACAGAGGGACAATCTGCTGTTTTGATACATCAGCTAAACCGTTTCCTGGAAAGCTATTCATTGTAAAGTGAAAAAAGTATATAAAATTGAATTCAAAATTACACTTAGCCCTTAAAAAGTATGGATTCTGTTTCTCCCTTTTATCAACTTTGATCTGAAGGAAGAGGTAGAGTACAGGTTGTATCAGCAGATGCAAAAACTCCTTGCTCTGAAGGAATCTAAAGTGTCTCCGCTGCATTTTTGTCTTGGTAAACTGATTAGCAAGGCAGCTCCGTATTATGCATCTCATTAATCCTGAATCAGTTTTGAATTTCCAAGTGACCTCATGTTTTCCAGGTGAAGTTTCTCAGTTCATCGGGGCAATTCCAAGCCTTACTAACTCTGCCAAGAGAAGAGGGGAATATCCATCATTAACATCCCACTTCAGGTTAAGACTATCACGCAGAGTTAAGGATGATCTGGATTTTTCTTTTGCTTCGGTAGTGTGGTTTCCCATAGGAACAAGACACAATCATGCTACATGTTTGCCTACCAAACTCAATTTCCACTAAGATTTAAGATTATTTAATTACACAGCTACTAGCCACTCACAGTCAGAAACGGTTAACAAGCGCTCAAAGATCCAACACCCTACATTCCCTCTACTAGGATGCATAAAACATTAGTGCATTAGAGATGTTAATTTTAAATTAAATAGAGGTTACTCAAAACTGACATTTAACATCTGCTCATTCTGGCAGCAACGTTGCCACTCTGTACCACCAAAACAGCAGCAAGGAGCAATGGTGAGCTGTTCCACCTCAGCATATTTACCCAGTACCCTTCTAACAACAATTAATCTGTACGTAGAATAGTTTTAACATGTTCTTCGTGCATACGGGCAAAAGCAGCCCCAACCAAACAAAAAAAACCCCACCACACACAAACTTTCTGGCTGTTTATCTCCAACAATGTGGAAAGACTGTCGTCTTCCATAAAGGGCATCAGCAGCGTTAGCTCTGGAGCGAGCCCTGGAGCATTGCAAATATTGTTGTTCAGAGCCGTGGGACGCTCCTGAAGCCTGAACGCTGGCAAGGTAAAGCACTGCGGGTACCATCTCCAAAGACATGTTATTTAGTGCCTTTCTTGGCACAACCGCAATATAACAAAGGGGTCATCAGAGGCATGGAAAAGACGTGCAATCTAGGGTGAGAAACCACTGCTCTGGAGGAAAACAGCTTTATAAACAGCTTAATATATATACACATGTACTTCATCTTTGATGCACTTTTCAGTTGTTTTTCCTGCAGTCCTATTGCAAATTCTTTCCGATCTAATCTGCCCTCAGCCAGAGACAGCACAGACTGTTCCAGGAGTCCATTATAGGAGCGCACAGCAGACCATAGAGCCAACTGTAACTCACCATAACCTATAACGCACATCCACTTCTACATGAGGATGAGATTCAAGGAGACCTGCTTCATGGGTTTTGATCTAGGAGAGAGCGAGTTCTGGCAATCAGAACTGGAGATTTCCATACAGACACTTACAGGAATTTGTAATCCATTCACCACCTACAATGTTTATGTTTCATTAGAGCAGGTATGGCTCACGCGGTGAAGAGATGCAGTCAAAAGCAGACATTTGTGCATCATGTTTTTATATTGGTGAGACATAACAGTGTAATATCCTCCTTAAAGCTGCAGTGATGTCCTCTTCTAAAACCTTATCTTTAATCTCAAAATGTGTGCGCATGGAAAAAAAATACTAACGTCAGTGTTACTCTAAGATATTTTAAGAACTTTCTCCAGAAAACAAAACCAATCTGATTTTGTACTACAGGTCATTACAGTTGTCCAGATTTACACCTCCATCAATGGACACCCTCACTGACAATATTCTGTATATTCAGCTTTGCAGGAAAGTGTAACTGTTTTGTGTGTATGTGAGGAAGCATATGGAAAACAGGCAACACAGCATTCCTGGGTTTCTATGAGTAGTCAGTCATGGTCAGGTTTTTGGTAATAATATTACTCAAACTACAAATATTGATGTTTAAGATCTACTTTTTCAAAAGGATAATTAATTAATTCTTGTAGCTTCTTTAAAGAAAACGCAAACTTTCCAGTTTTCCAGCATTCGGAATTCCAGACTCACTAATGTTATACAGGAGAATAACACTCCTACCTCACAGTTCCCTCCCCATACTGATCTGCCCAAAAATCTTTTGACTACAACCTCACGATGGGATTCAAATCCCGCCATCACAACCTCCATGGCCCCTGTCAGAACGGCTTCTTTACAGAACATACTTTGTCATTTACATTCTTTATTTCTAGATGGAGGATCTTAATTTTTTATGTCCTATAATTTTTTTTAAACATATTCAAATGACACCACCAGGTGAAAGCGAGATATGGAATCAAGTTTCCAATGCCCTCCATCTTACTGGAAAACCTTGGACTTGTTACCGTGCCTCAATTCCCTGTATCTTGAAATAGGGGTATCTTAAGATAGAAATAACGACACTTATCCTAACTTCTACCAGCCTTTTCATGTTATAAGGGACAAAAAATAAACCAAACAAATTCAGCAAGCATCCAGAGTTACCCACCACTGACCTCTCTGTTAATCAGCAAAGGAACTGGTAAACCCTGTTGGTCAGGTAATCTGTACGTTTTACCAGTAATTGTATTTCCCTCTAGATGCTTAGGATACTCCAACTTCAGTAGGTAAGAGCTCTTACACAGTCACCCCAAACACATGGCATCGCTGCATTCACAGTTACTTTTGTGCTCTCATTTTATTGACATCTTATTTACGAATTAGACAAGCACATTTTAGTAGGCATTGCTAGCTGGTATGTTGGTAGCTCAGTTACATCTTACAGGTTCGTACCTCTGGTTTGTCAAACTTTGATTTAAAATGGATTACTGTGCCTTTCACAGTGCCAGACAGACTCCTTGTACAAAAAGGAGAAAGACAGTTTTCACACAAATTTTACAAGAAGAACTGGCTTTAAGAATATAAATTGAAGATGAAATGCAATAGAGACAACAGTAAAAGGTTTCGAACAGGGCAAGCACAATGAGTGCTTAAGGACTCCCTGCAATCAGAAGAAACTGCCTGGTTTTCTTCCTCCTTACAGCCAAGCTAGCCTGCCATCTCGTACCTCCATCGCATTGCCTCCAATTACTTATTCCCTTTCAAACTTGCATACCAGTCAGAGTCCAGCCTTTGTCAAACAGTGAGTAGCTGAATTCCTTGCCTTTCTGTTTTGAAAACCCAAGCTGCCAGCCACAGGCAATTTCCAAGGCAATTAGTAAAAAGTCTCTAGCATCATGTTTTAAAAAAACCTGTCACTTTTGTTTCATGATTAATGTCCTACAAGTAAGAGCAGAGCATTCACATGTAGGTGAAATGGAGTCAGAAGTTTCTTAAGAAAACCATTTACTCTCTTTAAGGGACTTAAGGACTCTTTTTTCCCAAGGAAAGGGAGGCAACGTCAAAAGCTAAGTGTTAGTCTAAGAGATTAAATCAACAAATCAAGGAATACTTATTATCCAGAGTTTCATGTTAACTGGCAAAGGTAAATGACAAGTCACTCTGTAGAGACCCATACTCCTATTCTGCCTAGAGCCAAGGTAAGCACCCCAAGCCCTGAGCTACGGGAAAATTACATCAGAGGCGCCACCATGACCTTCAACTATTTCACATATCTCTCTCCTACCTGTCCTTGGCCTAAATTAGAAAAGCCTGCAAACCAAGTGGATTGTGGTCAGTGGACTCCCCTGTTCATTTCAAAATTCTCTTCTGGTAAGGAACAGCAATATTATTTTGGGTTGATCCAACTTGATCTATTTCTGTTTTGCTGCCAAACAGTGCTCATTATTTGCAGAACCTTAAAATCTGCATTCTAGCCTCACTCTCTGGAATTACATCCTGAAGCCCACAGCAAGGAGAAAATCCTGTGTGTTGTTTCAGCTCCACTAAGAGCGAGGCAACCAGGGCAGAGCAACAAAAGCTGCCGATCCCTCGCCAGCCAGAAAGAGCAGCAAACTCCCACTCAAGAATTCCTGAATTTCCAGTAGCTTTGCAGGGGAGTTTGTTAGACGAGAATAAATTGAGCAGTATCAAGAGAGGACTCATAAGCAAGCTAAGAGCTTAGGAGTCTGGAGA